TTATGTGTAGCGTATTGTAATGTTTATTGTGCACATTGACATTTGTAGTTTGGAAAAGAAACAAAAGGATTTATTGAAGTTTATGTTTTGATGCAGATGGATGTTCTTGCGTTGTTGTAAACGGTGATCTGGTAGCTCAAGGCTCACAGTTTTCATTGAAGGATGTCGAGGTTGTGGTTGCCCACGTAGATCTTGATGCGGTATGAAAATACTTTCTACTTTCCGTGAGAATCTTCAAACGACATGAGGCATACTTTCCATGAGAATCTTCAAACGACATGAGGCATGGGATGATTTTCTTGATCTCTGTATATGAGATCTCACATTGGTTAGAGAGGAGAACGAAACACCTTTTATAAGGGTGTGGAAACCTCTCCTTAGCAGACGCGTTTTGAAAACCTTGAGAGAAAACTCGAAAGGAAAAGCCCAAAGAGGACAATATTTGCTAGCGGTGGACTTGGACCGTTACAAATGGTATCAGAACTAGACACCGGACGATGTGTCAGCGAGGAGACTAACCCCTGAAGGGGGGTGGACACGAGGTAGTGTGCCAACAAAGACGTTGGGCCCCAAAGGGGGTAAATTGGAGGGTCCCATATCAATTGGAGAAGGAAACGAGTTCCAGCGAGAACATTGGGCCCCGAAGGGGGTGGATTGTGAGATCCCACATCGGTTGGGGAGGAGAATGAAACACCATTTATAAGGGTGGGAAACCTCTCTCTAGCAGACGCGCTTTAAACCTTGAGGGAAAACCTGAAAGGGAAAGCCCAAAGAGGACAATATCTGCTAGCGGTGGGCTTGGGCCATTACATTGTATTTTATAATGAAGGGGTGGGGCCCCGATACCCCAATTGTTAAACGAAAAACATTTGTAGAAGTTTTCTTTTTTGCTTGCTTTCTTTTTCGCCAAACATTTGGTTTTAAGATGTTTGCGTGCTGACAGGTTGCTAGTCTTAGAGGATCTATCAGCAGCTTTCAAGAACAAGCAAGCTATAAAACTAAAGTTCCTTCTGTTGCTGCCTCCTACAGTTTATGTCAATCATTCAACCTCAAAATTTCCCTTTCAAGTCCACTCGAGGTTCATTCAACATCATTTCAATAGCATTTTAGTTCATCATGTCAAAGACTGATCTTTCCTAAGTGCAATATGATTGATAATTTGTAGATTAACTATCACTGTGCGGAAGAGGAAATAGCCTTTGGACCTGGTTGCTGGTTATGGGACTATTTAAGACGAAGTGGAGCTTCTGGATTTCTTCTTCCACTTTCTGGTGGAGCTGATAGCTCCTCTGTTGCAGCCATAGTTGGCTGCATGTGCCAGCTTATTGTAAAAGGTTTGTTCTTATTAGCCACGGGCAGCCCAAACCCACCGCTTGCAGACATTGTCCTCTTTGAGCTTTCCCTTCTAGGCTTTCCCTCTACTACCATTCTCATTATTTTTTCATCTCTATTTTACAATTTTGTTTTCTATTGTGAGATCCCATATCGGTTGAAGAGGAGAGTGAAGTATTCCTATAAGGGTGTGGAAACCTCTCCCTAGCATACGCGTTTTAAAACCTTGAAGGGAAGCCTATAAGGGAAAGTCCAAAGAGGACAATATTTGCTAGCGGTGAGCTTGGCCTATTACGAATGGTATCAGAGCCAGACACCGGGCGGTGTGTCAACGAGGACGCTAGGCCCCCAAGGGGGGTGGATTGTGAGATCCCACATGGATTGGGGAGCAAAATGAAGCATTCCTTATAAGGGTGTGAAAACCTCCCCCTAGCAGACGTGTGTTAGAACTTTGAGGGAAACCCCAAAGAGGACAATACCTACTAGCAGTGGGCTTGGGCTATTATAGTACGGGGTTTTGCTAATTCAAACACTTCCCACCAATCACTCACACTAGTATTCTCTTGGTTGTTTTTATGCATTGGCTTGCAGAAATTGCAAATGGAGACGAACAAGTGAAAGCTGACGCAATAAGGATTGGACATTATGCTGAAGGAGAGTTCCCAACTGATAGCAGAGAATTTGCCAGACGAATATTTTATACTGTATTTATGGGTTCTGAAAATAGGTGAGCTGAATGCTTTAGTCCATGATTATGCGCACCTCAACTGGATCCCATGCTTTAGTCCATGAGTTCATCTTGATTTTTCGCCTGCATTTTAACATGAACATGAACTCGAACTCGGAACCCATTTGGGGCCCTGATGAGTTTATTGTAATCAGTAGGTCATACGCTTGTTCTTTTAGTAGGGCTCGAAATCGGGTGTCATTCACTGACCATGCTTGCTCCTTGTAGCTCTGAAGCGACACGAACAAGAGCGAAGGTTCTAGCTGATGAGGTTGGTTCATGGCATCTTGATGTTTCCATAGATGGGATTGTTTCAGCACTTTTATCCTTGTTCCAAACTCTCACTGGAAAACGTCCACGGTATAAGGTGAGAACACTTTCTTTTACTCCGTCAAGTTTTACTGTGTTCTGTACACAGACCCAGACACCAGGCTGTGTGCCAGCGAGGACGCGTGGGTAGATTGTGAGATCTTACATCAATTGGAGAGAGGAACGAGTGTCAACGAGGATGCTGGTCCCCGAAGGGAGGTGGATTGTGAAATCCCACATCGGTTGGAGAGGGAAACTAAGCATTCTTTATAAGGGTGTGGAAACCTCTCTCTAGCAAACGCGTTTTAATAACCTTGAGGGAAAACCCAAAAGGAAAGACCCGAAAGGACAATATCTTCCAACGGTGGACTTGAGCTGTTACAGGTGCTTTTCTGCAAAAATATATTTTCATGTAGAGATGATTAGGTCGAAACTCTTCGTCCAAGCGACACTATATGATTTTGTGCCTATCTTATAAGATATTTTAACCGTTCCAATCACTAGCTATTAAGTCGTAACGTCATCTTCGTCTTGTTTTCCAGGTAGATGGAGGATCTAATATTGAAAATTTAGGCCTGCAAAATATTCAAGCTAGAATCAGGATGGTTCTGGCTTTTATGTTAGCATCGCTCTTACCTTGGGTACACAGCAAACCCGGATTCTACCTTGTACTAGGTAGTTCCAATGTCGATGAAGGTTTGCGTGGTTACTTAACAAAGGTTCGATATTACTCGAGCCATTTCTTTTCCCTTCATGAATGTCAATAGATGTCTATTATCGAAGCTGCAATGTTTACTTTTGACGAGTTTCTCGTCTCATGTTTGGAACCACGACACAGTACGATTGCAGTTCAGCAGACATAAATCCAATTGGAAGCATCAGTAAACAGGATCTTCGAGCGTTTCTTAGATGGGCTGCTACCCATCTTCGTTACTCATCGTTGGCAGATATCGAAGCCGCTCCGCCTACAGCCGAGTTAGAGCCAATACGTTCCAACTACAGCCAGGTTCTTCTCCTCCACAGTTCACATTTTCAGTACCTTTTATCCTAAAGTTAGATCTGATGTAATGTTATTACTTTTCTTGGGAAACAGTTGGATGAAGTTGACATGGGAATGACATATGAGGAGCTCTCAGTCTACGGAAGGCTACGTAAAATATATCGATGTGGTGCCGTGTCGATGTTCAAGGTTCGTCTAATACTTTCATATAACTATTCCTCACTCGGATGGTCTCATAAACTTCAGTGATCTTTGTTCTTGTTCCATAGAACCTCTGCTACCAGTGGGGCGCTAAGTTAAGTCCGTCCGAGGTGGCCGAAAAAGTGAAACATTTCTTCAAGTATTACTCGATCAATCGACACAAGATGACCGTACTAACGCCATCTTATCACGCGGAGGTAGGTATCAGGATGTTACAATGTATGTACGTAGTGTTTCTCTCGATCTTTAGAAGTTTGTCGAAATCTCATTGCAGAGCTATTCTCCGGAGGACAATCGGTTCGATCTTCGTCAATTTCTGTATAACTCGAGATGGCCGTATCAGTTTGGGAAGATTGATAAACTTGTAAAAGAGTTGAATGGAGATAGTGTTGGTGTTAGAAGAGAATCAAGTGGTATGGGGGTTGTGGCAGCAGGCTCAGGGAATCCCAATGTTGGACTTTAGTTCATCTAATTCACTTTTGTCATAATGTCTTTATTTATTTGTTTTGGGAATAATAAGGAATTCTTTGTAAGTTCAGAAAACAGATATTTGTATATTCTTCTTCCAATTTGAATATAAAAATAAAAGGTTTATTTCTATTTTTTATTTTTTAAATTATTCTTTTGGGTTTAGGGTTTTGGAAATTAATTTTGAATTCCAAGGGAGGGAGATCAACAGCAGAAAAGAAAATTAACTAATAAATATTTTTTATTCAACAAACATTTTTTTTAAAATTCAAATAAAATATTAAAAAAAAAACGTTTATTTCTTTATTCTTTAATTTATTTTTGTTGAAATTTGAGTTAAACCTCATCATAATAGAAACGTTTTAAAACATGATGATACTTAACAAGCCAAACTAAAACACGAGACATAATAAGCCAAAGTGAACCATATCTAATGCTAGAGTAGTGTGCTTGGATTTCGAAAGAGTTTTGAAAGCAAAATTTGAGAAGTTGAAATTGGTGTTATATGGGAATGTAAGCAAAAGGCAATAACAACGGCTCACGGGTAGGGAGAAGTTGACAATTAGTCATATCTCCCATTTTGAGGCATGTCCAAGCAGGTATAGACGTGATTCTGATAAACGGTCATACACCCTCATATTGAACCGATATGAAATAGTAAAGGCCTAGAATGAAAGCATAAAAAGCGGGGGTTGGAATGAGCATGCAACTATAAGCACTGAGCCCCTAAAAATGTGGATAATAAGATTCCACATCGTTGAAGAGAGAAACAAAACATGGTTTACATAAAAAAAAACCTCCCTAGAATAGAAGCGTAATTTTAAGGAGAAACGTTGAAGGGAAAAATCGAGAAAGCTAAAAAAAAAACAATATAATATCTAGAATTTAGATAATTCCAAATAATTCAAATAATTGACCCTCAAAAATTATTAATATCTGAAATTTCTAATGCATTTAAAGTTGTAGAAGGGTCAATCAACTGAAGACAGGAACTTGTTTGAATAAGAGTGAAAACAACATCCAATCCAAAATGTTTGGAAGAGATCTCAGCCCCGCCATGGGAAAGCAAAAGCATCATTCGCAAAGCAAAAAACATGCAAACGCTCTATCTAAAGAATTACAGTAAGTTTTTCTTTTTTCGCATGATGGCCTAATACCACCATTTTCTATACTTCCTCATTTCTCACCTTCCAAAAGACCAATCTCAATAAAAAAAATTACTGACATTTTGTTCAGAGCTCATCATGAGACTCGTCATCTTCGGCCGATTCGCCACCAGGAGCACCACCGGATCTCTGGTAGACTGCAGTGATGATGGGGTTGCACACAGCCTCCACCTCCTTCAGCTTCTCTTCATAGTCTTCCTTCTCGGCACTCTGGTTGTCGTCGAGCCACTCTAGTGCATCCTTAACGGCTGTCTCGATCTTCTCCTTCTCATCAGACTCGAGCTTCTCAGCAAGCTTGTCCTTGTCATTGATCTGGTTCTTCATGTTGTAGACATATGTTTCCAAGCTGTTGCGGGCGTCAATCCTCTCCTTCACCTTCTTGTCCTCCTCTGCAAACTCCTCGGCTTCACGAACCATCCGGTCGATCTCATCCTGACTCAATCGACCCTTGTCGTTGGTAATGGTGATCTTTTCGGATTTACCAGTTCCCTTGTCTTCAGCCTTCACGTTTAGGATACCATTGGCATCAACCTCAAAGGTGACCTCAATTTGTGGGGTACCCCTGTTCCAAAGACAAACATTGTTTAGTTTAAACACATCTACTGATGATGATACAGAATGAAGGTCAGGGGCAAAGAGGTGTATACCTTGGTGCTGGAGGAATGCCAGTTAGATCGAATTTGCCAAGGTTCCTGCAGTCTTTAGTGAGACTCCTCTCACCTTCGAAGACCTGAATGGAGACGGTGGTTTGCTGATCTTGGTAAGTGGTGAAAACCTGAGATTTCTTTGTTGGGATGACAGTGTTTCTGGGGATCAACTTGGTCATAACTCCACCAACAGTCTCGATTCCGAGGGTAAGGGGCGCAACGTCAAGAAGAAGGATATCTGTATCAAAACCAAAAAGATTTGTGAGAAATTTCTCAAGTTCATTATAAGCAAGAATTTGAGAATCTTACCCTTGGTTTCTTCACCACCCTCTCCACTCAAGATACTTCCTTGAACAGCAGCACCATAAGCAACGGCCTCATCAGGGTTAACACCCTTGTTGGGTTCCTTGCCGTCGAAGTAATCTTTGAGGAGCTGTTGAACTTTGGGAATCCTGGTGCTACCACCAACAAGGACAATCTCGTCGATTTGGTTCTTCTGCAAACCTGCATCCTCCATGGCTTTCTTCACTGGTCCCATGGTCTTTCTGAACAAGTCATTGTTCAACTCCTCAAACCGAGCTCTGGTCAATGGCTCGGAGAAGTCAGTACCATCAAAGAGGGATTCAATCTCAACGCGGACCTGGTGCTGGCTACTCAATGCCCTCTTGGCACGCTCAGCTTCCCTTCTAAGCTTTCCAAGAGCTCTGTTGTCCTTGCTGATGTCCTTTCCGTGCTTCTTCTTAATCAATTTGATGAAGTATTCCATGATTCTCTGGTCAAAGTCCTCACCTGGGAGAAAGTGCGTACACAATCAATTCAAGGCAAGTGATAATGTGAAACCAGAAGCAATCGATTTCCATCATATAGTAACAAAATTCTTACCTCCCAAGTGAGTGTCTCCGTTTGTGGCAAGAACCTCAAAAACACCATTGTCGATGGTCAAGATACTGACATCGAAAGTACCACCACCAAGATCAAACACAAGAATGTTCTTCTCGCCACCTTTCTTGTCCAAACCATACGCAATGGCAGCAGCAGTAGGCTCATTGATGATCCTTGCAACGTTGAGACCAGCGATAATACCGGCATCCTTGGTTGCTTGCCTTTGGGCATCATTGAAGTAAGCTACACAAAAAATAACCAAACTCAGTGATCAAGAAACTAATTAAGATAAAGAATGATAGGCATCATATTTCTTTACTCACCTGGAACAGTAACAACGGCGTCCTTGATTTTCTTGCCAAGGAATGCTTCGGCTGTTTCCTTCATCTTAGTGAGAATCATGGCACTGACCTCCTCAGGGCTGAAAACCTTGGTCTCACCATCCTTGATTTTCACTTGAATGTAAGGCTTTCCATCCTTGTTCACAATCTTGTAAGGAACAAGCTTCATGTCTTTCTGAACCTCTTTATCATCAAACCTGGGGAAAAAACAAAAATTTTCATAAGAAATCTTGTGTAAATTCTCAATCAGTGAAAGTTGTCACGGGAGATGGATGCCTACTTTCTACCAATAAGTCTCTTGACATCAAAAACTGTCCTTTCAGGGTTGACAGCTGCTTGATTCTTGGCAGCCTCACCGATCAACCTCTCAGTATCAGTGAAAGCTACCCAAGAAGGGGTGATACGGTTTCCTTGATCATTCGCTATAATTTCTACGTGTCCATTCTTGTACACTCCAACACAAGAGTAAGTGGTTCCCAAATCTATCCCAATGACAGTCCCCAATTTCGTTGCTTCCTCCTTCGCGATTGAAATTGCGAATAGGCCTCCTGCAATGCAGCTTCGGCCAGGTTAATACCAATAGACCCATGCATTCGTCCAAACAGATAAAACCAAATGCTTCTATTTTCATTCACTAAAAATAAAATCTAATCAAAAGCCCAATGAATATCACCCCTACACTACACTCTTAAGATTAAAAAAAAAAAAAAAAAAAAAAAAAAAAAAAAAAAAAAAAAAAAAAAAAAAAAAAAAAAAAAAAAAAAAAAAAAAAAAGGTTCGTAGGAATTCTAAAACATAAGCTATAAACAGGAGCTAATGCGAGACATTACTAAAAATGAATGATGCTTGCATATAATGAAACATCCGTACCAACATTAACTCGAATTGAACAAAATTTTCAGATAAAGAAGATCAACAATGCCTAATCAACAACCTAAATTAAAAGAGATAGAAATGTATAAATTTTAATTCATAAAGATACAAAGCAAAAACTTTCCAAAACGTTTTTAACACAGAAGAATCCAAAGAATGCCACGTAGATCGCCTTGAATCTCAAAGCAATCACCAAAAAACAGTACGAAGATCCATGGAGCCACCACTGCCCTATCTAAAATGGCCAAAATCAACGAATGCGAAGAAAACACTCCTCGATCTATGGCTACTACGAAACTAACAAACAGACATTACAGTAAAACAATAACAATCATGCTCAAGGTTTCCAGGCTACAATCTCCTAAAACAAAGCCACCAGAAAACTAAAAATTACATCTCCCAGATCTAAACAACTTCCCTAAGCCAAATCAAACGAAGAACAAGCCAGATCTAAACCATTGGAAGGGGAAAACATTACCGAATAAAACAATTGCCAGCACGATCAGGGACCCTCGAGCTCTCCAGGAGCCAGCCATGGCAATAATCTCGTCGAAAAACAACCTCTGGAAGTCGCAAGTATTAAGAAGAAGAAAAAGAAGAAGGCTTTTGGGTTAGTTGTTGAGTTCAGAATTACTGGAAAGACTGAAAGCGCGAGGTATGCTTTTATAGGGTGAGATCAATGAAATTTTGCCTTCTGCGTAGATGTATGTCATTTAAGATGACGTGGACCAATAAAATTCCTTGTGACGTGGCTTCAGCCAATAATATTGCGTCTAGTGTTGGGACGATCCTCGCCGTTGATTGGCGCTGATACGTACATGATGACCCGTTCTCCGTCAATCTCTCTCTTTTTTATTTTTATTTTTTCCTTTTATTTTAATTTCCAATATTTGTGAAGAGGCTTCTACATACTTCCTGAAATTAAATTGTCACGATTAAAATATAAATAAAAATTTGCAACGACAAATAATACTTTTTAGAGAATTATATATAATAAATAATAATTAATAATATATATATATATATATATATATATATGATATATGTCTAATGTACTTTATATGATATGTCCATGAGTATATTAATACTCGTTCAAATTTTAAATGAATATCGATATATTAGCCGTAGTTTATTCTTTAAACTTTGTTTTTAAATGAATATCGATACATTATGGACACTCAGATCATTGTACTTCGAATACATTTTGAGAATGAGTATTAATAAACTACCCGATATACTTTTGAAACACTCATAATATTGTATTACAAATGAATTTTAAATGAGTGTCGATAATTTATAGATACACTAATGTTTGAAATTAAATTGTAAACGAGTGTTGATGGTGCTAATAGATATACTCGAAATGTATTTTAATAAGTAATGATGTAATTGTTTTACCTTAAATAAATTTCATATGAGCTTTTAAATATTAGTGATGCATTAGTGTTTGAAGATGAGTTAGAGAGTTTATGTTTTTTTTTTTTCTTTTAAAGATGCATTTTAGTTGAGGTAATACGTTACCAGATCTACAATACTCGGATCGAAATGGTAACCAATGAGATGAATTTAATCATTATACGACGATAACAATGTAATAAAAATTAATACTTTGAAATAGATGAACAAAAGACAATTAGCTCACGAATTCATAAATATATCAATATAAATTAACTTATAAATTGTTAAAAATGAGAAACAAAAGTGGGATTGAAAGTTTACGGTTCTATTCGGTAAATAAAATTATTTATTACTATTCAGTAAATAAAATACAAGCAACTATCTAACTTTTTAAAAATAATATAAAATATACTACTAACCAATTTCATCTGAAATTATGATAAAATAAAGAAAAAAATCTGTTATATAAAATATATTTAAAAACTAATTTTATATATTAATATAAATTGATTAAACTACGAGTATAATTTAGTATATCAATTACATAACTGATATTGTTTATATTTCATATATCAAACTGGAATAGTTTGTTCCCTTCTCCAACACTTGGAATCTCGCTATACAAAAAAATAATATACTATATTTTTTTTTATAGATTACAAAATAAAATTTTATATTTTAAAGTCTAAATTCATAAAAATATATATATTTTTTTTAACTTTTACTTTCTCTATAAATTATATAACTTTTAAAAATTTAATAATACCATTAAATTTTTAAAAAATCGCAAAAATATGTTTAAGTATTAAATTTTAATTTTTTTTATTAATACGCTCAAACTTTAAAAAAAAAAATAAAAATGTCGGGTTAATACTATATTTAAAATTACTAAGGAAATTTTAAAAATGTCTATCCGCCCTTATCTCTAAAAGTTCAAAATTATTCACTGGAAGAGAAAGTTTAAAATTATTTTTTAAATTTTTTTAAAAAAGTTAAAAAAATTATTTTGAGTTTTTAAATTGTTCGGAGTACTCTTTGTTATTTTGAATTTTGTTTAAAAGTTTGTATTTTTAAAATAAAATATTAATATTTTCCATCTATTTTTTAATTTTTAAGTTAATATTGGATTATTTTTATTAATTTAGTATATTTTAAATTTCACTCTTGTTGTAATAATAATTTTTTATTTTCCGAAGATCATTTCTGGCTGCACCAGTTTGGTATCAGAGCAACCGTATGAGCCAAAGTTTGTCGATGAAGGAAAGCTTGAAAACTCTTGTTAGCTCTGATTACATGAGGGAGTTTCGTGGGTCGTTTGCCAAAAGCATATAACTGTTCATAAGGAACCCTTTAGAGAAGAAATCTTCACGATCAATCAACCATAAACTTCATTGTGACAGAGGTATGGAATAGAGAAGATGAAAGATTGCTCATATTTAATGAGAAATCGTTCCTATCTAATTGTGGGTATTTGATGAATCTTAACTTTCAAGCTCAAAATTACAATGTTCATTCAATTAATACTGAAGTCTTGCAATTTTCCCATTATATATGCTTTGATTTCAGATTCGAGAGCCGTAATGAGTGTTCGTCGGCACTGGATTTCTTCAACTACTCCATATTTATGTTATAATGTTTGTGTTGAACTGGGATTCTGAATTTCATATAGGGGTTTCATGTTTGGCGATTTATCTTGCGAGGATGCGCACCATGTGTTCGATAAAATGCCTCAGTTAGCAGCTTGGTATCTTAGTTCTTCATGTGCTTTTTTGACTGATTTTCTTCCAGCATTGACATGTTTATGGGGTCATTGAACCCAGTTTTACTTCAGGAATTTTAGTTTTGTTACGAGAGATTTCATCATTCATGTTGGTTGGAAATAACTGAAGTGATTGAGGTGAACGGAAAATTTCAATTGTTTAGTCTGCTCGCAGAAATTTCTCCCATGGGGAAATATTTGGTTTGAAGCACGACCAAGGAATATCCATACCTTAAGGTCCAATTACAAGGACGAGAACCAAGAAGTTACAACAAGTTTTAGTCACTTATATTCAAGTTTTGGTGAGCTCGTCAAAGGAAATTCTAGAAGACGTTGGAGACATTTCTTACATGTTGTGCAAAGTTGAGCTTCAAGATAGAGATAAATGCTCAACTTTGCATAACTTGTAAGGAAGGTCTCTAACGTCTTCTAGAATTTCCTTTGACGAGTTCACCATAGCTTGAATATAAGTGACTAAAGTTTGTTGTAACTTCTTAGCTCTCGTCTTTGTAATTGGACCTTAAGGTATGAAAATTCCTTGGTCGTGGTTCATATCACTATTCATTTATAGTTTTGATGCTATTCTCTCAATGTTCTTTACAGGTATGCAAAAATGCAATTTGGGGGTATTCTAAGATTTTGTTGGATCAACATGAGGAGCTTTTCAGTTTCGCGAAGTGTAAATGCTTGCAGAGTCGATACATCCTTTGTTTCAGAGATTGGTAAGCATCCAATCTGATTATAAGTTTCTTTTTTCTGTGTTCATATTGGGAAATGTTTGAATTATTTCTTTATGATGTTAAGATCCGTCTGGAAACCTTCTCTGTTCTGCAATTGATCTTTACTTTCTTGTTGAATCAATCATTTCAATTGTAATTTTTCTTCTAACATGTGGAAGATTGTGATTTGTTCTTGACTTTTTGTGGACCTTTATTACTCATGGCAGGAGAATGTGTTCAGAGTTCTAAAAACTATTCAGCTCTCGCCTTTACTGATGATGAAATTGGCAAGGGAACGGAGAAAAGGAAACTGGCCATGAACCTGGCCTCGCTTGTCGAAGAATCTCTTGATGTTGATATGAAAACATCTAAGACTCAAATGGAGCTCGAGAGATCCCTTGAAAAGGGAACGGAGAAAAGGAAACTGGCCATGAACCTGGCCTCGCTTGTCGAAGAATCTATTGATGTTGATATGAAAACATCTAAGACTCGAATGGAACTCGAGAGATCCCTTGGAAAGGGAATGGAGAAAAGTAAACTGGCCATGAACTTGGCCTCACTTGTTGAAGAATCTCTTGATGTTGATACGAAAACATCGAAGACTCGAATGGAACTCAAGAGATCCCTTGAAATTCAGATTAAGAAGAGGGTGAAGGCGCAATATGTGAATGGGAAGTTCTTGGACTTGATGGAGAAAGTGGTTGCCTGCCCGAAAACTCTTCAAAACGCATACGACTGTGTTAGAATTAACTCAAATGTTGATGTAACGTCGAATGATCATTTAATCTCATTCGAACCTATGTCTGAAGAGCTTCGTAATGGTAATTTTGATATCAAGGCCAATACTTTCTCCATATCAAGTTCAAGAAAAGAAGTAGTCATTCTACCAAATCTAAAGTTGAAGGTTCTTCAGGAGGCCATTAGGATAGTTTTGGAGTGTGTTTTTAGGCCACATTTTTCCAAGATATCTCACGGCTGTCGAAGTGGAAGAGGACACTCAACAGCATTAAAGTACATCAAAAAAGAGATCAACAATCCTGATTGGTGGTTCACAGTCAACTTAAGCAAAAAGATGGACGAACTTATGATGGCTAAACTCATTACAGTAATGGAGGACAAGATAGAAGATCCCAATTTATTTGCTTTCATTAGAACTATATTCGATGCTGGAGCACTGAATTTGGAGTTCGGGGATTTCCCGAAAGGTCACGGTCTTCCACAAGAGGGCGTTCTGTCTCCTATATTAATGAACATCTATCTAAACCTCTTTGACCAAGAATTCTTTAGATTATCTATGAAATATGAAGCTATCAATGAATATAGTAATGCAGGTCAAGGTGGATCGCAATCAAAGCTGCGGAGCTGGATTAGAAGACAATTGAAAGGAAATGATTCCGAATATCCAGGCGACGAGAAAGATAACATAAGAGTATACTGTTGTCGCTGTATGGACGAAATCTTTTTGGCTATATCAGGTTCTAAAGATGTTGCTCTGAGGTTTAGATCTGAGATTTTAGATTTCTTACAGAATTCTTTGCATTTGAATGTTCATCATCAAGAGGAAATGGTATCGTGTCGAGCGACTCACGGAATTCGTTTTCTTGGTTGTTTGGTTAGAAGAAGTGAGCAGGAAAGTCCTGCTGTAAAAGCTGTTCATAAGATGAAAGAAAAGGTTGAGCTATTTGCTATACAAAAGCAGGAGGCTTGGAATGCTTGGACAGTGTGGTTGGGGAAGAAATGGCTCGCTCATGGCTTGAAGAAGGTGAAAGAGTCAGAGATTAAGCATTTAGCTGAACAGAGCCCTTCTTTGAATCAAATTTCGAGTTTTCGTAAAGCCGGGATGGAAACCGATCATTGGTACAAGGCTTTACTAAAAATTTGGTTGCAAAATATAAACGCAAGAGCTGCAGAGAGTGAAGAAACAATCTTATCTAAGCATGTAGTGGAACCTTCTCTTCCTCAGGAACTTAGAGACTCCTTTTATGAATTCCAACGGTGTGTGGAAGAATATGTTTCTTCTGAGACAGCTTCTACTATTGCTCTTTTACCAAATTATGATCCTTCTGTCAAACCGACTTTCGTAACTGAGATTATAGCTCCGGTCAATTCCATTGGAAAACGACTACGGCGATATCGGCTACTCACGAATAAAGGGTATCCATGCCCCTCTCCTTTCCTCATCTTACAAGATGACACTCAAATTATTGACTGGTTTTTCGGAGTATCTCGTCGTTGGTTTAGATGGTACACCAATTGTTCTAACTTCAGTGAGTTGATCTTAATTTGTGATCAAGTTAGGCAATCTTGTATCCGAACACTAGCAGCGAAGCATCGAATACACGAAAGTGTCATAGAAAAGAAGTTTGAGTCAGAGCTGAGTAAGATTTACTCCACCCCTGATATAGAACAAGAAGAAGAGAAGAAATCACCAGATACCAATGGTTTAGACAATGATGAGGCATTGATGTATGGAATTTCATACAGTGGTTTGTGTTTGCTATCTCTTGCTAGAATGGTTAGCCAATCTCGTCCTTGTAATTGTTTTGTCATGGGGTGTTTGAGTCCTGCACCAAGTGTTTATACTCTTCATGTCATGGAGAGACAAAAGTTTCCGGGATGGAAGACTGGATTCTCGAGCTCCATCCACCCGAGCTTGAACAGACGACGATTTGGGTTATGCGAGAAACATTTGAAGGACTTGTATCTGGGTCACATTTCATTGCAATCGGTTGACTTTGGTGCATGGAAGGTTATGAACTATTGATCTCCACAATGGTATGATATTGTCCACTTTGAGCATAAGCTCTCGTAGCTTAGCTTTTGATTTTCCCAAAAGGTCTCATACCAATAGCTAACGTGGGACTACTCCTCTCAATAATCCCCAACAATCCTCCCCTCGAACAAAATACACCGTAGAGCCTCTCCTGAAGCCTTTTTATCTGCAGCTCTCGAATAATCTCCCCTTAATCGAGGTTCTGACTCCTTCTCTAGATCTCTCGAATAAAGTAAATCATTTGTTCGACACTTGAGTCACTTTTGAGGCTTATAACTTCTTATGGAAATGAGTGGTTTCTGTTCTGTGTTTGATCTCATTTAGCTTGTGCATTACTGGGGTAGATAGATTTGCTGAGAGAAACGGCATGGGTGGAGCTTCATGGTGCCAGGTTTGAACAACATTCAATTGAATACGTGCTGTTTATATTGATATCATGTTGGAAACCTTCTCAATTGATTGGATGAAGAATATTAATTATGTCTTAAAAGTCAATTTTGATGGTATAGAAATCATGTTTACTTCTTATAAACTCAATACGAAGAGTTGGATATCGAATTATAAACTTTACCATACTTATTAGTATCTTATTCAATTTCTATCTCCGTATAATTTTGTCCTCGAGTAATTTTTTATTTATTTTTATTGAGATCAGGGCAAAGATTATCGGTGGAAAGGTTTTTTTTCCAACCTTTCTATCTATATATATATATATATATATGTTTTTTTTTTCTTTTTTAAAGAGAGTGGGGGCTATGGTGGGGTGGGATATGGATGGAGTATAATCCCCGTTCATGTATTAATTTAGCTAAGGGAAAAAAATCTATTCCCGCTCCTTGTCTCATTCTCCGTTTAAATGGGATTCTCCACCTTGTTTGGAGTGGGCGTTTACAAGATAAATTATCTTTTTTTTTTTTTCATCCACCGAATTATATTCAACTTGAACGTTTATTTAATATAATAATAATAATCACAAAACTATGTGAACGAAAGGTTTGACTTAAGATAGGAAAAATATCCGTTGTAGTCGAGTTGGTTAGGATTCTCGGGTTCAAGTTTCAGCAACGGAAATCACTTTTCATATTACTATTTTTTTTTTGTAAATGATTACATATGCCAACCAAATATTGACATTAGATTATGTTGGGCCACAAAAGCCCAAATTTAAAGCCCATTGGACCTATGATGACATTCTTAATAATGCGTCTCTCCCATCTAGTTTGTTTGATCTTCTATGGGCTTTGATATATTGGTAGTTGGTAACGCTTCTGAGGAAGTATTAATAACAAACTAACCGAAAGAAGAATGATTTTTTTAAAAAAAATTGAACTCAACCGCAGGTGGGATGAACAATTCAGTTATCAAACGGATAAGATAAAAAGTTTTAGTTTAATAAGAATATATTACATGAATCCACCAACATTAATTGAAATTTTAGTTTAACAGATCGTATGTAACTTTGGTCTTCATTAACGTTAATGAATCTGCCAATATTAATTAAACTAATTCAACTCATTAAAACACATATCTTCAATCAAAACATTAAAGGTTTGAATATTCGAGATCCATATCGTTGACCTAAAAAACTAAACTTTTACCCTATTTGTGAGAGTAAATGTTAAAAAAATGACTAATCTTGAGAGTTTAGAGGTAGAAATGTTATCGAGACATGGTGAATAGAGGACGTGGGTGGCTTTTTACGTTTATGTCCTCATCCTCCAATCCTTCTTTCTCACGAAATTCTCCAAGTACCGAGTTCTAATTTCCGTGGACAAAAGTTACACTCTTGCTAAAAATGGTTAAAAACACGATCGAGTTTTAGTTTATTTTTAATGGGTTTGTAATTTTTTTCGTATTATATTCAACCGAACATCGAGTTTGACCTAAAATTGACTACTATATTCTCTCCACTAACTTAAGTATGCAACAACCAACTTAATATAATATATAGATAAGAAATTTGGATAATGGGATGAACTATTCCAAAACCAAATCAAAAGGGAATTGAAGTTAATGTAAAATTACATGTCTATTTCGTCCCTAAACTTTTCTTAAATTTAAAATTTAAAAATTTAGATTTATTAAATATGATATTGGAAATTATTAAAATTATTAAATTATTTCTTTTAAATTTTAGTTTTAATACCATTAGAAATATAATAAAAACCAGATTCGAAATTTCAAATTGTTTGGGTTGATTACTTGAACAATCTAAATAGAGTTTACGACCAAACTCAACTCTTTATTTTCGAATTAGGTCGGGTTGGATTATCAGGTTGTTTTTTTTTTAATTATTTTAAAAAAATCTTATTTATCCACGATACATGTTACACTCATAACTAAAATCTCATAAATCTCTAATATCAAACATTCACAAGTCATAATTCATTACTAACATTAGTTACAAACGTCAAATATTCATAATAATCTTAAAAGTAGGATAGGTTGAGTTGTAACTCTATTTTCGAGTACCCGACCAAAAAAATGTTAACCAGCAAACCAACCCAATTTTTATGATGTGGGTTGTGAAGTTCGAGTTGGTCGAATTCTCGAGTCATATAAATATTCTTTTGAATAATGAAAAAAAGAATCGCTAATGGAATCCTTTTAATAAACTAAAAAAGAAAAAGGCTCGATGACGACTAATAAGACGTGTTTTTTAAAATTAAAAATATATTTAAATTCATTAAATTTGAATTTTGTCTTAATAAAAATTGAAATTGGATTAAGACAATTTTCTTAATTTGGGAAAATATTGTCAAACCCTTTGGTTGAACAATTGTGAACTTTCATGCATGTGAGTTGTAAGTCAATGGTAAGACTGCCCATATTAACTTCAAGATTCCCTCCACCGACACAACAGTCAACGCTTTCTTTTTCTTTTTTTCTTTTTTTTTTTTAATAAAAAAAAGAATATATATTTATCTTTCAAATAAAAAAAATATATTGTTTTTAATTGAATTTATAATAATAATTATCATTATCTTAGTTGGATAAATATTTGACCTTTTGTTTTTAAAATTTTAATTTATAATTTTTTTTTTTACCATTATCCACTTTTTATCAATATTTTAAAAAATTAAGCAAAAACAAAAAGTAATTTTAGCTTTTTTCTTCTTTCCTAATTTCTTGAAAAAAAAAAAAAAATTTACATGAAATGCAAATGTTAAAAAAATAATAATAATAATATACCATAACAGTCTGATATTTCTGTTGATGGACTGATTCTCCATTATTTGAACGGTCAATTTTTTTAATATAAATGACTCTTATTAAACAATGAACCCAGTTCAATCGAGTTGAATTGATTCATTTAATTTTCTTTTAATAGTATTTATTTTTAGACATTAATTAAGATTTAAAACTCAATTTTAATAATAGTTCGAAAATTACTCTAAAAGTTAAAAATTATTTTAAAAAATGGTTGAAAATAAATAATTATAAAAATAAAGTCAAATTATAAAATTTTTATTTATTTAAATTCAATCTAAACTGTCTTATTTTAATGAGTGAAATAATGCTGACTTCATAAATCTTTTAATAATTCAACCTTTAATTAAAGTGGTTTATGCATATAAATGTCATTATTATTGCTAAATATTACAATAGAGTTATTAAAGTATGTGTCATTTCTCAATTTAATTTTTTTATATTTTAGAAATTTAAAATTTTTATTTATACAAAAAAGAAAAACATATTGTTTTTTTTATAATGTATGTCGCCACGTGTCTACATAAAATTAAATTATTTTCACAAATGGAAATAATAATAATGAAAAAAAAACTATTTTTAATCATTTATTTAATGGGTTAATACTATCTTTACTAAAAGTAATTAAATTACACAAAAAATGAAATTGGTTCCATGCATAAAAAAAAAGCATCAAAACGTGTCAATTAATGAACAAATTTAGTACGTAATATTTTTAACGAATGTTACATTTTTATGTATGACTTTCGGTTTCATTTAAATTCTATCATTTATTTCAGATTTTCATTTTTAAATTTTGAATTTAATTTATATTTAATCTCTAAATTTTAGAATGTTACACTTTTACCCTCGAATATTTAATATCGATATTAACTTTTTGGTAAGTAATTTTTTAAATTAATGACGAAGAAAATAGTCCCAATTAAATTAGTTCGCAAAAAAATGTAAAATATCTTGGAATACGAGTATCATATAGAAATTAAATTTAAAACTCGGTAATATTTTGAAATTTAAAAATAAATAGAAATAAAATTAAGGTAAAAATATAATATTTTTGAAATTGAGTAATCCTTCAACTAAAAATGTATTTTTCCCTAATAAATAATAATATAATACTAAATAGTCAGAACGCACCGTTTAATGGCTTTCAGGAATTATAAAGCGCCAACTCCATGACCACTTCACTCGCTATTTATGATCTACCGTCTAAATTTTTTATTCTTTTTTATTTAATAATTAAAAAAAATTATGAGATTGCACATTTTTATTATTTTATTATTTTATTATTTTACTAGTTGCTCGAGTGATTTTTATCGAGAGTTCTTACCGGAGTTTTAGCTCGAATACCAATATCAGCTCTCTTGTAAACCTTACTTGAAAATTGAGATGAAGCTAGCGAAGGCTAGTGATGCATGTGATCCATTAATGACCGAGCAAGATTCTGTAGTTCCTCTAGTTCAGCAAGAACGAGTAGTTTCAACAACAACAAACCCGTCATTGTGAGAGTGGTACGATCCTACAAAGCCAGGAGAAAAGCATTAGGCATTAGCATAAAGGGAAGCAAAGACATAGGTAGTAGATTGACCAACATCACTATTGATCATCTTCAAGTGATTAATTAACTGCTCCATCAATAGAAACAATTGAACCAAGCATGACTAGTAGATGATTCACAGTCGATCGTGATAGGCTTGCAAAGTGTCACCGAAAAAGCATAACCTACGTAGCACCGAAAAAGCATAAGATCCTCAATTGAAGGGAGTTTTGTTTACCTACTGTTCGGAGAAAACGAGAGACCTCATTGTCCAAGAAATGCTCTTTCCTCTAGCGGAATCAGACTTTTAACAAGATAGCATCTCGTATTAAGAGAAAGTGTCTTACTCTACCCAAACGAAAGTCAAGAGAGAAAGTGGGTACTGACATGGTTAGATGATTCAAAGCGGTTACACAATAGCTTGAAGTTGAGAAAACTTCGATTCTAAATCACCGTCAATCAGTTAGCTGGTGCTACTGGTGGTGGATCATCTACTAGTCGTGCTCGCTTTATTCACGCTCGTATGAGAACTAGCTTTCGAGCTAACTCAACATCCACTAAATAATTTCCTAATCGACGAATTTGAATGTCAATTAAATATATCTCTATGATCCGAAGAACCAACACATTAACCTTTACATTATCTATGAAATGATTAGCTAACCTGGAATGAACTATAAAGTCTAAATTTTGGCCCCAAAACAAAACAAAAAAATGTTCGTAGTCTTATTATTGACTTTTTATTAAATAATTATTCATAAGACTCGATTTATCTTTAAAATAAAATAAAATAAATAATTATTTGATAATAAAACGGCTTTGACCACAAATAAACAAGTTTCCATGTTCGAACCTGGTTTTGGATAAGCTGGACTTAAATTGACTGGGAATCTTCTGCATGCAGAAACGCCATTTGTTTCTCTTTTCCAACTCTCTCTCCTCTCTCTCTCTCTCTCTCCAAAATTTTAAAATAATTTAAATTTAGTTATATTGGATTTCTTACCTAATATTAATACATTGTTAAATTTTCAATTTTATGTGTTTGACCTAAATAATAAAGGTTTAAGGATAGAAATGTCTACGAGACGAGCGAGAATGAGGAAGCGTTTCTTATCCCCATCCTCGTTTTCTGATTTAATGTTTATCCTCATAAAAATTTTATTTATTTTTTAATTTGAGGTATATAATTTTTTTTCTAATAAAAACATCAAATATCCTAATAAATTCAGTAATAGACAAGACCGGAATATTGGGAATAGGTTAGAGATAGAGAATGATTCTCGTTCCTAACTCTGTTTAGCTAACGAGAAGAAATCTCTCAATGTTGATCATATAATTAGACGAGACGAGAATTTGAGCGAGGTCGGGATTGGGAGTAGGACGGGAATAGAGAATAATTCTGATTCCAAACCCGGATTATAATTTGGATAAGGGAGATGAAAATAGGGTAGAAACTGAAAAGAGAGAACCTTATCTTAGTGTTTTCTTATTCATTGGGTCCCTTATGATCTATTTCCATTTGTTGGGTAGAAAATGGAGTGAGCAGTACATGAGTTGCACGTGACCAACCCTTGTTCATACAACTCACTTTCAGTCCCTTCTTCTATATATAGAGACTCCATTGCTTCCAGTCTCTCACACGCTCTCACTTGCAAACATTATCCAAAGCCTCTTCTGTTCTCTTTGGCTTTCTGTTCTTTGTTTCTTTCCTTCTTTCTTTTGTTCTTTCGCCATGGTTTCTCCTGATGCTGTTCGTACGGCGCTTGGAGTCTGTGGTGGGTCTTCTTTTTCTTGTTTTCTTCTTAAACCCTTATGGTTTCTTACTCATTTCTGTGTTCTTTCTGTTCTTCCTTCTAATTTCTTTTCATTTTGTTTGTGTTTTCTTGCAGGAAATGTCATCTCTTTCTTCTTGTTTCTCTCTCCTGTGTAAGTATTTGCTTCATTACTAGCTTCCTACCTATCTCGGATTCTCGTTTTTTAGTTTGACTCAGATCGAATTTTTGGTTTTGGGTTCGACCTAGATACAAGTTCTTTTTTTTGGGTTCGACCCAGATCAAATTTTTGTTTTTGAGTTCGACCCAAAAATAACTTCTCGTTTTTTTTGGTTCAACCCATATACAAGTTCTTGTTTTTGGGTTCGACCCGCGTTTTTGAGTTCGACCTAGAAACAAAGTCTCATTTTTGGGTTTGACCCAGATACAAATTATCGTTTTTTGGTTTGAGTTAGATACAAGTTCTTGTTTTTGGGTTCGACCCAGATACTGATTATCGTTTTTGAGTTCGACCCAGATACAAAAAGTTCTTGTTTTTGGGTTCGACCCATTTACTAATTCTCATTTTCTAGTTCGACTCAGATACAAATTCTCGTTTTTGGGTTTTGACCCAGATACAAACTTTTGTTTTTGAGTTCAACCCAGAAACATATTCTCGTTTTTAGATTTATCGTTTGTGGGTTTGATCTAGAAATTTTCATAGGAAAGGGCAAAATTTTGTGTTTTGAATAATATGGTTTCTTTCTTCTTCATTTTGTATTTTGGAGATTTTTTTAAATACAATTATTAAAAAAGAATTGTATTTTGTTGAGGGTAAAAGGTTGTTCAAGTTTGTCCTTCCTATGCATGCTACTTTCCCTAGAAGAAAAAAATGAGGAAATTGAGGAAAAAGTGAGCGAGAATTACATGTTTGAAAGGATAAAAGAGAGCTGGATCCTTAATTAATTGCTTTTTTCATTATTAATTATTTTTAAAATAAAATTTTTATTTAATGTCGAACATTCGTGTTGAAATGAGTTATTTCTCTCATTAATTTCGTGTTTATTTGGTTTTTTAACAATTCAATTATATTTACAGGCCGACGTTTATCCAAATATGGAAGAAGAAATCAGTGGGACAGTTCTCGCCGGTGCCATATCTAGCCACTTTGATGAATTGTCTAGTATGGACATTGTATGGATTACCAATGGTGCACCCAAATAGTATGCTCGTCATCACGATCAACGGCATCGGTATCGTGATCGAGCTCGTGTACATAATCCTCTTCTTGATTTACACTAATGAAAAAAAGAAGCGGCTACAAGTGCTAGCAGTGGTGTTGGGTGAGGTCATCTTTGTGGCTCTCTTGACCATCCTGGTTCTCACCACGGCTCATACCTACACTCTTCGCTCTACCATTGTTGGTTCCGTTTGCCTTGTCTTTAACATCATGATGTATGCTTCACCATTGACTGTCATGGTTAGTATAATTTCCCTCTTCTTTTTTCCTATATATATATATGTAATATATATATATATATATATTTATAAGCTTAATTTTTAAAAATTTAAAATACGAGTTGTCTTGTGTGATGCAGAAACTGGTGATTAAGACAAAAAGCGTGGAGTATATGCCGTTTACTCTATCCTTAGCTTCATTTGGCAATGGCGTTATTTGGACAGCTTACGCTTGCATCCATTTTGACCCCTTCATTGTGGTAATAATTGAATAACACGCTTAAATAATAAAAATATTTATAAATTTTACTTTTGTTTTTGTTTTAAAAATATTTAAAAAATATAAAAAATGTTTATAATTTTTTAAAATGTTTTTCAATGTTTTCAAATTTTAATTATATTTTTAAAATAAATATTTACATTTTATTCTTTTAAAACTTTTAAAAAGTATTTAATAATAATTTTTAAAAAAGAAAAGAAACTGACTTGCATTAATGGCGTTTTCTCAGATTCCCAACGGCCTCGGAACATTATCGGCCGTTTTGCAGCTCGTCCTCTACGCCGCCTTTTACAGATCCACTCAGCGCCAAATTGCCGAAAGAAAAGCCCAAATTGGCCTCTCCGAGATCGTTGTCGACGGCGGCTCCCTGCCAAACAAGGCCACCAGAGGCGGAGATGCAACTACCCCTGTTTCTCAGACGACGCCGCCTCACAAAAAGTGATCGGACGGTGGCGGCCGGTGACCGGAAAATCCGTCAAACCCAATTCATAATAAAAAAAAAAAAAAAAAAAAAAAAAAAAAAAAAAAAAAAAAAAAAAAGAAGAAA